TCCTTTTCTTCATAGCAAATTAACATGCAACTTGACTGTTGCATAAAATTAATAAGGTTAAATAACAAAATAGGATTTAATCAACAAGCAAATTAAAAATATTTAAATAAGATGAAAATGAAAGCACTATGGGCTGAAACCAACTCAAATGTTCTTGAATAAAACGTGTTACAGTGATGTACAAATGTACAAATACGTCATGTCCGAAAAAGCCTTTTTTAGAGGTGTTTTGACAGTTCAGAGCCACCGTACAAGCGAACAGCTAAATATATATAGTACGTTTAGAAAATGCGTCACAGATGCATCCTATTTGGCGTTTTAGATTCTTTTGAACATGAAGCTGCTGCTTGTCAATCAGACAACGCTTCTGCGCTTGTTCTTGCTGTCAATTGCAGGGGAAATGATCGATGAAAAGTTTATGAAAAACTGCTGACTTTTACTCAACTGTAGAGGCAGAGTTGCCATCAGAGTCAGATTTTCATACAAAACCTGCATTGAGCTGACTTTATGGCTAACAGAGCTAAATATAAAGACAGAATGAGCGGCTGGTCGAGAGCTTCTATGACTGGATTCACCTCTCCCCCTTGCTACAGTCTGTGTGTGCGCGCAATGACAGCCCGCGCACTTGTCATAATCAATATGAATATTCCGATAAAACTGAATACATCTTACATCAACAACATGACAAGCAACGCGTTGATAATAACAAATAATCAGATTACAAACAACTGTTATTTTTCCACGTGTTGTAAAATGTGCGGGTCCAGCTGCAGTTTGGGTGTGTGTGTGTGAAGCAAGAGGGAGAGGGAAAGGAGCGATTTTTGGGCAATGAGATAACTGACTAAAAGAGAAGGCAATTTACCACGAAACTAATATTATTCGGCCCTGGAGTAATAAGTTTAGATCCCCTGCTATCTCTACACAACAAAGAGACAGAGCAGGAAAGGTTTACACATGTAATATTTTCCCTGAGGCGATTTAAAGCAAAATACACAATGACACTCAATCAAACACATGTACAATGATAAGGAACATGGTTACTTACTGACTTATTAACGCACATCAATACCACATGAAGAAATGACAGACTTTAAAGGAATAAACAGTGTGGGAGAGATCATTATAGTGCAGTGGGCAAGTCTGAACAAGTTCCGCCCATGCGTGCGCGGCACGCAGGTCTGTACAATTACGTAATTTATCGGCTTAAAGATATCGGCCGAATTTAGGCATCGGATCGATAACGATAATCCTAAAAATAGCATTTATCGGCCGATACCGATATGGCCACCGATATATCGTGCATCCCTAATATATATAGATATAGAACTGGACGATATGGCAAAAAAAAATATCACAATAGTTTTTTCATATCAGTCGATATCGATATTTATCTCGATAAATGTAAAATCTTTATATCTATCAAATATATAAGATTTTCAGCATGCCAATGGCTTTGTGGAGCTGATTTAACACATTTAGTGAAATGTTTTAGCTGTCTGACAACATAAATAATAAAATAATAAACAAAAGAACAATCTTTATTCAGCATTTACTGTTCAAGTTTTCAACAACCAAAGACATTACCTACAAGTTATTGAATATTATTGTTCAACATCAGAAAAAAACCCCGGTTTGGAACCATGTGAGTTAAAGGTCACATAATTTTCAGTTTTGGATGAACTCTCCTTTTAATGGTGAGTATGGTGAATTTAGGGTGAAATATACTTTAATGTATTTATCTATTAATTGTTGATAACGCTTTTATCGATAGACCTTATCGATGACTGATTAAGCATGGACATGTAAAGGTTAAGTTATGCTTTGCGCTGTGAGACGCATCCACGCATGACATCAAGTGTGTGCAGTTTACCTATGCTGTCACCCTCTTGACATTCCATATTGCGGGATGCATAAACCCTTGTTATGCGCATATCTCCGATATATCCGCGCGTGTTTTAACCAAATTTGTCTGACAGACTAGCACGAATAGCAGACTTTCAATTTACAAATCGTGCATCACAACGAAAACATGCGGGGAGCCAGCCGGGGAGCCTCTCTATTTACACATCGAGCTTCTGAGCTCCATCTGAGTTTATTCTCCGATGTAACCCAAGAAATCTATCATTGCTGCGAAAAGGCTGTCCAGTTCATGCTGCTCAGACCGCGCTTAGTTAATGAATTAAAATGAAACCGTGAAAATTGTTTGATGGACTGTTTTGGCGCTAAAGCATATAGCGGGCTTGTGTTAAAGCGCTTCACCTCAGATGTTATTCGTTCCTCTTGTTTATGCTGTAGATAACTGACCAACAAAATATACATCAAAATTAAGTTACACATTATACAAAATGAAATTCGTTACAACAAGATACATTTTCAAGGAAATATGTTTATATTTATTTAGTTCGTGTCCGCCTTAAACAACTGCGGGTGGATGATGCTTCGCTCTGTGTAAAAAAAGGATTTAATTAATGATCCACTGCTGTTGTAAACGTCTGTCATATATTTGCTGCATTTTTAATATGTCATTTTTTTTTAAAGATTATGTCTTGAGCATCTGATATCTCCTCTGTGATTATGTCCTTTAAATATGTAGCCTAAAGGCTGATTCTTTTACCGTCGATGAGAGACAATAGTAGTATTACAGATTTCAAAACAAATATTTTAATATTAAACTGACGTGCACCTCTCAAAAAATGTAACTACACGTCGCAACGACGCGTAGCGTAAGCTCTGTGATTGGTTGGCTTGGTAGCGCTGACGAGTCTGGGCGGGACCGAGAGCCGCGCAAATGGCGCGAGCGATTGTTTACAAGTGTGGAGTCCCGTGAAGGAGCTCCGGATGGAAAGTTTTGTTTTGTGTTTACCTCATAGTTAAAGTTGTTGCACGTCCGCCGGTTCCTGCCTCAAAATGAGCGCGTTTGAGCCACTTGTACATCCCGTAAGTGTTCAGGAAAAGCAATAAAGCAGAGAAGAAACTCCACACAAAGGAACATTTACACCTCACTGCCAACTAGCCTTTCGGAAGTGTTAATGCAGACCGACAGAGACAGCGCGCAGAAGTATAAATCAGGCTTAAGGGTGGTCTTGTTTTACATGATGAAACAGGTCGTGGTGTTGCCTGCTTTTCATGACACGATTCGTCTGCTCAGTTTGCGGTGCACGTTGCTCTGTTTTGTGTCGGATAGCGAAAATCTAAGTAGCTCATGAAGTCTAGTGACGTTTCTTGTCAACGGTGTCTGTGATTCTAACCTTTTTTACCTTATTTCTTTCTTACTCATTTAAGTGCAACTAACACTGTATGGCTGTAAACTTGTACGGCGTGCGGCATCTGGAAGGGCAGGCTGCAAAATGCTTGCGCAACGTTACGCATAGTTCGATAATTGCTCGATAATATTTTCGCACTGTCATTATCATTTTATCGAAAAAATTTATATCATGACAATTATCTATATCGAATTATCGCCCAGCCACTTATTTTTTTTTAAGTGTGGTTGTATATTCACTGCTGAGAGTCCAAACACTGAATAGCAAATCCATCCATGCGCAGCTCTACGGGTCTTAAACCATGCAAGCTTGTGGCGATTGACGGCGGCGAGGGAAAAAAAGCCACGTAGGCTATAATCAACTCCTTTTTTCTTAACACAAACTCCCAGCTAGTCAGCCAGTTATGGCGGAGGCATTTTTAAAAATGGCCAGATACAGAAGAGAAAGTGATAAATGGAGGACATTGACGAGAAATGGTTTGATAACAAGTTAAGATCGCGCTGCTCCACAGTGTAGAAACCTGCTTTCCGAGAAATGTGGGCGGCAGAACAAAGAAGCAAGAAATGTTTGTCTGATTTGTACATGCAATAAAGTTATATTGCGCCGGTAAGAACAAGCCCTAAATTAAAGTCTAGAAAGAGAAGAGTTATTAATTTTAATCAATAGTAATTAATATTAGTTAATATTAATGATCACAAACACATACTGCGTTGTATAATAAACGCCTTGACAATATCGTGATTTTTTTTTTTTTTCTTTTTTCTGAAGAACAGATAATCAATGTTATCGCTGTCTCCCCAGCCAGGTTTTCATCTTTTTTTTTTTTTATCTTCTCTTTACAAACAATAAAGTATCAGCGCCAGACCAGTGGTTTAAATTATATTTACTCCTTATTTATTTTCGTTTTAATTAAAAAAAACTGTTTGAAGAACAAAATGTTTAAAGTGTTGTATTGCATATATATTTTTAAAGATTATCATTCAGGCTACTTTCAGCGTAAATGAAAGGTTTGATGTGGCAAATCCCCTTTACTCGAGCACTATACCCATTTCATTTATGACACTGTAAACTTGACTTGGCAGGCTGACCATCTTTAAACTCAAAAGGCATTTTTAAGTGTCCTAACTTGAGACTGCTTCTGCATAATGAGATGTTTCTTACAACTGATAGCAGTGTCAAAATGAAAGCAAACATTAAAAAGGGTTTTGCATTTTATCAATTGTATAGGTTATTAGTTTTAGTAATAATGATTATAATAAATTATAATATTAATTATAGTGTAGACTACTGTACGGTGTCCAACAAAACATTTTGATTAGGTTACTCTAATCGACCTAATCCCTAACTGAAAAACAGATGCGAAAGGCATTTGCGTCTCTGCTAAAATTAATTTAACGACATTTCTTTAGCGTTTTTTCCCCTTTAGAGAGAGTTGTATTTAAAGAATTAGTTAACTAAAAAATGAATGTCCAGTTCTTTCGCGTGTAAGTTTAGGGCGCCTCCGTGTGCGCGTTTTAAAGGCCACTGCCGCACCCTGACCTGACGCGGGGACCAGATCTTTGCGCTATTGCATTTTCTTTGAAATATCTAAATTATTTTCCGAAAGTAGTTGGAAAAACAGAATTGTTAGTAAAAAAAAAGACAGAAAGAACTTTTACTTTTGAGTGAACTGTAACAAATTATTTTATTTTGATAACCCCCCACATATTATTATTATTATTATTTTTTTTTTTGTAGATTCAAACTGTAACATTAATTCCTGGAGATGGAATTGGTCCAGAGATCTCCACTGCAGTAATGAAGATATTTGAAGCAGCAAAGGTAAGCTTCTGTTGTTTGTTTTACTGTTCTTAAATATGGCCTAGGCTGCAGGATTTAACAATTGATTGTTTTTTGTTTGTACATTTGAGCTGTTTTCAGTCTTGCATTAGGTAGTAAATTTGCCATGTTTTTAAAAATTCACCAAGATCTTGTGTATTTGTCAACATTTTTCTCATCCAGACCCCAATTCAATGGGAAGAGAGAAATGTGACTGCTATCAAGGGACCTGGAGGCAGGTGGATGATACCTCCTGAGGCAAAAGAATCGATGGACAAAAACAAAATTGGGTTAAAAGGTAAATCAGCAACTTTACATTAATGAGATGTTTGCAATATTTATGGAATTAACATGTTAAAAATATTATATTCCAGGACCCCTGAAAACACCAATTGCTGCTGGCCACCCATCCATGAACCTGCTGCTTAGGAAGACCTTTGACCTGTATGCCAATGTGCGTCCTTGCGTGTCCATTGAGGGCTATAAAACACCTTACACTGATGTGGATCTAGTCACCATCAGAGAAAACACAGAAGGAGAGTACAGTGGGATTGAACATGTGGTATGTATTCTTTAAATCAGTTACTTTTAAAATTATTATACCAATAACACAAATGGGCAAGTTGCTTTTATTCTTTTGATTCAGAGCCTTTGCTGTAAAACATGTTAACTCATTGCATTTAAAATGATTTCTATTACTTATTAAAGGTGCTTAATGTAAGTTTTTGACACTTCTAAAGCATAAAAATACCATAATATGTTTGATGAAACACATTAAGTAATCTGAGCATTTTAGATGTTACTGCCCCACTCAAGCCCCATATAAAAAATGCAAATCCACTTTATGGCAAAAATTAAACACTTCTCTGCTCTGTATCGGTGAGCTGCAAAATCTGCCAAGGCTTTTTTTCTGATCTAACTGTGAAAAATCATTGTACACCTAAAGTCTTGTTCTCAGTTATACATTCTGTTGTTAATCCCTGTTCAATGCCTTTTGCTTCAGATGCTCTATGTGAAAGCTTTCTAAAACATTTCAGTAACAAAATCTCTATTTTAAGGCCAAAACTCATTAAAATTAGCCATTCCCATTGATCCCCCTCCTCCCACTCTGCATCTAGTCTATTGGGATGCTTTCGATCTCATCTCTCTGCAATAACTAAAAACGTAATTGTCAATATTAAACTTTCTTTCTGTTCCAATGATATCATCAACCCCAAATTGCTAAAATAAAAATAATTGACACTGTCGGTCCAGGCTTGGCATCCTTTTTTTTTCAAAAAAAGTGCCTCTTCAACTGGCTCTTTTCCAACTGAACTTAAAATGGCCACTTCACTTCTCATAAAGCCTTCACTAGATACCTCTATTGATCTCTCTTACCATTCTGCACTTAAGTTTTTAGAAAAATTGTATTTGAATAATTGCACTCTTTCTTTTTTTTTACATACTAACTCTTATCACTGAAATATTTCAGTTTTGGTTGCAAATGGCTCATAGCACTGAAACGGCCCTTTTCAGAGTACTTATAGATTTCCTTCTAGCCACCGACTCTGGCGTTTCTTTGGTCCTGTTTTTTTTTTTTTTAGATTTGTCAGCTGCATTTGACACTGTTGATTTGATACCCTTTTCTATCTGGTAGAATTTTTTTTAGTTAAATTAGGCAACTTCTCATCCTTGTTTGCTGATCTCACTTGTGACCTCTCTCAAGGCTCAATATTAGTTCCCTCACTTATTTCATTATACAGTATATGCTTTTGCTTTGGGGCTATTCTAAGAAGTCATGCGGCTCTATTTTGACGGTCCAAGCGCAGAGTGCAATACGCAGGGTGCAAATGCTTTCAGGGCGTGTCAGAATGCATTTTTGCTAATTTAAGGACAGGAAAATCCGCTTTGCGCCTTGGCGCATGGTCTAAAAGGGTAGAGTTTATTTTATTAATGAGCAACGCCTTAAAATGACTCTTCCGCCAAGCTGAAACTAGCAAAAGACTATTGCGCCATTGCGCCGGGTGTATGATAGGGCCCATGGAGTGTCTTTTCATTTCTATGCTGATGACACGCAGATTTACTTGCCTATTAAGAGGAATGACCCTCTCACTCTTAGTACCTTACTAAGGTGCTTAGAAGAGATTAAAATCTGGCTATCCCACAATTTTTTTTACATTAATTGATGATATGAAAGGGGTGATTGTTTTCAGCCATACTGATAGCGTTCAGGCCACATGCCTAGATCTGGGCTGATTATCTGCCTTCAGATCACCCGTGTGCAATGAATTAAATAAACTAAATTAGCCGTAGTGTATGTTTGCGACTGAGTGTATGGATTAAGGATGTAAGGGCATTTGCCTTATAAAACATATGCTCTACACATATTTACCCTGCCCAATTCACATGTAAGTGCTATGTATTTGGACTTGTGGGGGAAACCGGAGCACCTAGAGGAAACCCACGCAAACGCATGGAAAACATGCAAACTCCACACAGAAACGACAACTGACCCAGCCGAGGCTCGAACCAGAGACCTTTTTGCTGTGAGGCAAACGTGCTTCCCACTGCGCCACCAGACAGGCCCAATCCCAATTCTACCCCTAAGCCATTCCCCTTACCCCTACTCTTTGTTTTGCGCATTCCCATGAAGGTGTACGGGTGTCCCAATTCTCTTTAACTTGAAAGCATAGGGCTAAGGGAAAGGGGTGAATAGCCTTTCGAACTGAGATTTTTCAGCACTACACTCAAAACCAAGGGGTAGGAAAGTTTTCCAGAATACACCAGTCACAACAGCAGGATAGCTGCACTTGGAATTAAGAAGATCCACAAATTAGCTTTTTTTTATCATTATTACAAATTTTTACAACCAACAAGCATATGTTTTAATATATTCATAACCGCGTTTGTGTTTTACTGTCATGCTTTAAAAAATTGCTATAATAAAAAAATATATATATATTATAATCCATAATAATAACTCTTGTATAGCAGTCCCACAACATTCTGCCACTCGATGACGCTCTAATACCCTGACAGAAACTTATAGGGGCTGGGAATGGGCTTTTTACAGTGTCTGCTATAGTTTTAATGTTTTTATGTTAATTGTTTTTGGTGTGACATAGATGAATATGGTCACTGTGTAAATGCGCAGTAGAGTTATGATCTTATTGCCACATTAGATCGTTATGATAACATAATATATTCAGTGATTTCTTGAAGATAAATACTAAAAAATAAAGCAACTGGAATAGTTAAAGTAGTCACAATCCTTGATCTCGAAGCATGATATCGCGATAACATTTGCAGGTGATATAGTGCTGTTTCCATTTCTTAAGAGTAAGAAGCCCTTCCCCTTCACACTCGATTTTAAGGGCCAAGGTGAAAGGGGTAGGGGTACAAAAATAGAATTGGGATTGGGCCTTAGAGAGTCTTCTTTAGTTTGTATTACTTACTTTTTTATTTGGTTTTTTGTTTAAAAATGACAATTTAGTCATTGCAGAAAATATTTTATTTTGTACATAAAAGTGGCATTTGAGAGAAAATGAAAGAGCTCTTGTACACCTTAAAGGGCATCTATGGTGAAAAATCTACTTTTCAAGCTGTTTGGACAGACGTGTGTAGGTATAGTGTATAGAGCGTCATATTGGGGTGATATAAACACAACTTTTTTAAATTTAACATCATAAAAACGGTGGACCAAATGGAGCGGTTTTCAGAGCGACCTTGACGTAGAACACAGAACTTGACGTAGGAGTGCGGTCCCCCCACCCACCAATATTGATTGACAGGCGCAACACCATATCCTCAGCTTGTTGATTCACGTCCGCCATTTACAGCGTGTGAGTCAAAGCGATGTCACCAAAGGAACACCCTTGCTTTATTTTTAGATGGAAGGCTCATTGGGCTCAACACAAGATCAGCATTCACTTAATGATTGCAATAATCGGAATTATTGGTTGTAACTTAGTTTGTTTGTAAGTAGGTTTGCAAACTAGTGTACTTTTCAATGCGTCTATCTTAAACTTCAGCAGTTTGCATTTCTCGCGATCACAGAAGCTCCCTGTCAGTGTGGTCTTAACCAGGTGCAGCTGGAAAGTGTGAGCCCCTTTGCTTCACCTAAATGTCCCTCCAATGGAAATTAAATAACAAACTTGCCTGCAGGTGGCACACCAGAAGCGTTGCTCAGCGACGTGCAGCGCCATGCATTTTAGAATTCTAAACATATGTTTCTATAAGGGTACACACAACGGCGATTTAAGTCGGCGGCTGTCCGCGGCACCGAGCAATGATTCGAGGAAACTTAATTTTTCTGCCATTCCACCGAGCACCATCTGAATAGTTTCATTTTAACCCTCTGGGGTTTGAGGGTGTTTTGGGGCTCTGGAGAAGTTTGGACATGCACTGACATTTGTGTTGTTTTCAGTATCTTAAAAACATATAAATGGCTAAAGTGTGATAACACTGTAAACAGCACAAGTTGGGCTGCAATAATACCTGAACAGAATGTTTGTATGTGTTTGTGTTTTTGAGAAAGAAACGTTTATGCGTGGTGAGTGAAAAACTAAACATTTTAAGTCATTGAAACAAGGCCGTGAAACACACATAGAACGTTTGTGCACAAGACTTTTGAGAACTGGATCTTGTGGCCTAGTGATATTGCTTCAAAATGATGTGAGAATAATCTTGTTCACTTGCTCACAGAAAACAATAAAATGAATTAATTTCTTAGTCACTTTCTGTGTGAAATTGGTTTATGCGAGAAGGCTTGAACTATGCAGTGAGTCACACCTGAGAAAACAAAGACCTGCATAATGAGCCATCAGACAGGTATGTGACTAAAAGGGAAGAGTTTAAAGAAGGAATCAAAAAAAAATTTATTTACTTTTTTGTTTGCAGTTTATTTAAAATATATTAATCACACAAAATAACTGGAGACAGGCACGTGCACACATAGGGCTCAACCTGTGCAGTGCACATGCCCTTTTTAGTCATGGATAGAAAGTGCCCTTCCAAAATAATCAAAAGTGCCCCCGCAATGCGGCACACTCTTCCAAAAATTTATCCTGGAAATGCCCTTTGGACGGTCTCTGCACGGGCCTGACTGGAGATACACTTGTGAGAATCAGTGCACTCTATAAAACTCTGCAGACTTTACAAACTAACATATAGCAAATCTACTGAAAAAGTTATTTGTAAATGAAGAATTTCATTGCAAAACGAGATATATACATTTTGAGAAATGTTGGTAATGACATTACCATTATTATGACATTATTATTTAAGACATCAACAGTCAAGTTTATTCACATTTATTCTAATTTTTATACAATAAACTATTACTTGAGCTCAGTGAAGTCCAGAAACATAATATTCTTCAAATCCAGGATCTTTTTTTATTTAACTTTGTCCATAAATAGATCATAAATAAGAAAAAAAAAACATACCAAAATCCAACATATTTATCTTAACATTGTCATAATACATCATAAATATATGGAATAATATATACAAAGACTGAATAATAATACTGAGATTCTGAGTTAGTAACTCAGTAACTCAAATAACTGTGAGCAAAAGAAAGCAGGTAAAAACACACCATGTGCGATAATGAAACCTTTTAAACAGTTGCGCGCATCGCAAAAGCTTTAGGCGCAAGTTATCATCCTCTCATTCGGTATTTACAGAAATGCTTTAAAGAGTAAACTTACAAGAGACACTAAGAAACGTAGCCTTGCAGATGAGCGCAGGGAAAAAAAGGCAGTATTTCACTGTAACCCCTGGCCTTCTTCTTGACATCAGTGGCAAACTGAGCAAACTCGGAGCACTTCTTACGTACTTTAACTCTCTTTGCCACTGGTCCTTTACCACTGTTGTTTTCACATTTGGAAATTTACATATGAACAGCGTGCTTACTGAGAAGCGGGATTGTGTTAGCTGTAATGAGGCGATATAGGAGAATCAGTACCAGTCCTTACTTTTATACGGATTACATAAAAAGAGATTATTTGTTTTCGACTTTAATTGGTTAATGCAGAAGTAGACTTATCAAGCTTTATATAGATATCATAAATCATCATATTTGTTGAATATTTGCTGAGTTTAACTGCGTTTTAGTGACGTGTTTTTTTGACCACAGTCTGCACACGTCTTCAGACGCTTGTAATAACAATGCCTCTTGGGCATGGTCGCATTAAAACTAATGAGATCAGACTGAGAAACTAGACATAGCGTTGGTTTCATACTGATTACTTTATCAAGCAATGTTTGTTTTCGACATGAATAGCTGCGTTTAAAAGCAGGTAAGAGATAAAACACCTCTTAGCGTTTTGTTATCGCGGAGTTTGAGCCCATTTTACTGACCCGTTTCTAAAAGCAGTTCACGGAGAGAGAAAAGACAGAATGCCTACACTGTTTGTTTTCCTTATTTTGCAAAAGCACACACGTTTGTTGTTGTTGTGAGTGTACACAGCAAAAAGTAGACACTAAACAGATTCGATTGATGTATTGATCTTATCTTTACGATCAAAACTGAAAGAGTAATTTAAGTTCATTTTAGCAGTTTCACAACACCACAGGTCAAAACTCATATTCGCGGTCTTCGACCCCAGAGGGTTAAATAACATGTGAATGTCCATGTCTGGTGTTTCATGTCGCGCCTCTAAACAGGTCATCCGGTGCCTCAGTCAAAGTTGATTCAGTGTGCGTGGTTATTAGTCTCGGCGTACAAGCTCGGAACTTAAAACTAGCACACAGTTGGCTGTAAAACTATACAAAGACACAAATGATTGTGTACTCTCTTCTTGGTCTGTGCCAGAGTCGTACATGTACGGCTGAATGCTGATCCTCTCACTCATGCTGCTGCTTCTCTCTGTCTGCCTGTCTGTTGCCAAGAGCAGGTGAGCTCTTGGCTCCTCCCCCTTGTTACGTTGGGCGGGAATTTGAAACTAATTTTAATGTGAAGCAACATCCCTAAAACAGCGAGCTGTGTACACGCCCCCAAAATAACACTTTTGAACACATTATAATAAAAAAAAATGTGAACTGTGTTGAACTGAACCTGAACTGGCACACTCTAAAGAACCATAATATTAATATTAAATCATAAAAAAGGGTAAACTATGTGCCCTTTTTTGTCTCAATTTTGTAAAAAAAATGTGACTAAATTGTGAATCGTGAGAGTAGAATCATGAATCGTATCGAATTGTGAGTCAGGTGAATCTTTTCATCCTTAGTGCACTCCACTCCAAGGAAATGATAAGGTGTAGAACTACAGATTTAATGTTTAATTTCAAATTATTGTAGGGATTATCTACAGTTTTAACCCAAAGAATGACCAGCCTGTCAGATGAAGAAGAGCCTTAGTCAGAGATTCAAATAGATAAATAAACTTACTTAAGATAGTTTGCTGTTTCATCAGCAGAAGCCAGCTTCAACACGCAATCAGTCTCTAGACCACTCTGCTTACAATCACAAATCAATAACAAATGTACTCTCACATAACGTCATTACTGCGTCATGCATATAGGTGTTCTAACCTGATAGGTTAAAACACAGATAGACTAGGAAAATGTTCTAGTGGGTGCATATGTACAATTCTGAACAATATCTTAAGCATATAAAAGTCAGACATTCACTAGACTGTTTAGAGCTGACTCCAGATCTGTGAAATGGATCCACAATCAAATAGAGCTAGGGTTGGGCCAATAGACTATGCCCATCGTCCGTTGCCGATGGCCAATAGACAACACAATGCCTCAGCCCCATCCCGGTGCAAACCTGCTCGTGAAAAAACACACTTAGGGCCTGTTTACACTAATACATTGTGGGGAGGGGGCGTGGCCGAGAGCTGTGGGAACGGAGTGAGGCCACCACGTAAGTGGATACACCTGCGGTGTGCACCTGCTTTGGATCCCACGGAAGGAGCTCTGTATGATAAAGGATGAACGATGGCAGAGGAAGCCGAGAGAGGACCGGGCCCGGACATATTTTACTTTTGCTTTCAGTTTGACGGCAGTCTCCGTGAGGAGCTGCCGTCCGTTTGTTTTGGTTTAGACGGCAGCCTCCGTGAGGAGCTGTCGTCACGGTTATTAATAACCCGGCGGCCAAAGGGCCGTAAAATTCATTACAGTGGTGCCGAAACCAGGGAGAAGGAGGGACGCGTTGTCCAGATGCCCTCGCCGCTGAGAGAGGGGGCGAGTGTTCGGGAGTTAACCCGAGTGGGGGAGAAACCCGTTCGTCTGCTCAGAGTGCCGGGGCGGCCTGAGGCTGGCGAGGAAAGGATCTGCCTGCTGACGTCTCCCAGCATGGGGAGGAGCAGGGGACGCGGGGCTCACGACCGGAGGGGAAAGTGCTGAAGGGAGCCATCCCACAGAACCCGGGGGAGTTGCCGCGATCTGCCATGATGCCAGAGCCTGCATCCGTCCACCGAAGCGGAGCAGGAGACCAGAGATGCCGCCAGCCAGCCAGGAGAACCGCCGCCGGACGCCAGAAGACGGACGGGTGGATAGATTCCTCCACAGGGCTCCCAGCACGTCGTCGCATCTCTCAGCTGGTGTAGGACCGAGTGGCAGCGTGTCTGGAGAACTGAACCCCAATTTATTTTCTTTTTTTTCTTTTTCCTCTCTCCCCTTTCTCGGTCTACTTTCTTTCCTCTTTTTTTTTTCCATCTCCTTTTCTCTCGGCCCGTCTCATATAGGTCTCGCGGGTGCTGTGGAGCCAAACCCCCCCCCTGAGTATGCACAGCCACGGGGTGCCCCCGGCCTGTGATGGGAGATGGGGGTATGTGGCGAGGGCGCGTGGCCGAGAGCCGTGGGAACGGAGTGAGGCCACCGCGTAAGTGGATACACCTGCGGTGCGCACCTGCTTCGGATCCCACGGAAGGAGCTCTGGACGATAAAGGAGGAACGATGGCAGAGGAAGCCAAGAGAGGACCGGGCCCGGACATATTTTACTTTTGCTTTCAGTTTGATTCTCGGTTCTCTGCCTTCTTCTTCCCGGCGGCCAAAGGGCCATAAAATTCATTACATACATCTTAGTATTAAAATGCCATTTTAAAATGAGAATGATCCACATCGTGTTCTACCTAGCATTTCTAAACAGCCCTCCTTCTACTGAAAACGCACATCACGAGACCACACACACACACACAGCCACACACACTGTCATGCGCTTGTCTGAGCTCCAGAGAGCAGTGCACATCAGACTGTTAATCAAGGTTAAACATACTAGTTGTTAAACGTGATATTTAATTAATCTTGTCTCTATCTAACGACTCTTCGGTCTTTTGAATCGATCAGGTAACGTGTCACAGCATCAGTACACTACTTCAGTTTAAATTTTAGTGAAAACCTCAGATACTGTTGGTTGTGCACCTTGTTTACCGACCAACCTCCTGCGGAAAAATTGATTGGCAGGTGGTAATTTGTGTGCAACTTATTCTTTATTTATGATTTGTTTATGGGTAAAACAACGACCATGCGGGTCAGGTAGTTGAAAAGGTAGACTACAACTAATTAATTTGCTATAAATTAATGAATTATTCATAAATAATTAATTTACCTCCGCCTATGATGACGATGCCATCGTCCATCGCGATGTTTCACATTAGACACCGTACAATGCCAAATTGGTCGACATCGCCCTACCCTAAATAGAACACACACTTAAAGTACAATCTGTTTCTTAACCAAGGCGGAGTGTACTCTCAGCTGTCTTTATCAAAACTGGTTAAAAACCGGGATATTTTACGTTCAGGCAGTTATATCCTTACTACCCAAATCTATCTTGATTAACAAGTAGAATTACTTTAAAATAATTTACTGTAACAATAGCAAAATCACTTTAGACATTTTAGATAGTAACTCATAGAAATAACAATAGTTCCACTTGAGGTCTCTGTGACCTCTGACCTAGTTTGGTGGCTCCTGAAAATAGTTACAAAGAGACAGGCAAATGCACTGAACATTCTTATATTAAGCAATGTGTTAACTTTATTCATTATTCAATAATCATCTTTAATAAAAAATAATGAGAAACAGGATGATGATTAAAGGATAAACGTTGATCCATGCTGAGATGGATTGGAAGGCAGAAATCCAAATCTTTCACTATATATTTGTTTTATTTTCAAGATCTGTGGTACACTGTTTGCTGCTGCTTTCAGTATGGCAATACATGTCACTTAAAATGATATTCAAACTCACATTGGTAGTGCATTATTTAAAACTAAATAATGCACATAATCAGTATTTAAAGTAATCATTTCATTGAAGTTTATGCTCCTTTTCAGTTGCGAAAAATAGAAAAGTTCCTAAAATAGTAATGTCAGGTGACCTCAGATCAAAGAACTCATTTTACATGTAAAAGATCATTTTTGTCATGGTTAGACTCTATTAGTCAGACACACTCCATTTGATGTCATCAATCTAGCAACCTGAGAACTCATCGAAGGGGCCAGCTGAAAAAGTATTTAGAATTTGGAGTACAATACCTACTTTAGCCTCTGGGTGTCAATCTTGCAAACTGCACCTTTAATGCAAAAATCAAATTTAATTTTAGAAGTATTCTTGAGATTTGGTGTACACGTTTTTTCTTTCTTTTTATTTTTTACCCAAGTATATCAACATATCAAGATCATGGGATTCACTCTCTTTTTTCCTGCAACTGTATGTCTATTTATCTTTCTTTAGACCTTTAGGTTCAGTATAGAACAATACTGTAGCATTTGACATTGGGGGCAAAGCAGCATATTGGCTCGCTTCACATATGTCAGATCTAGTGTTAATTTCATCTAACAGTGTGTTAACCAGTTTTTTTATACAGTGGTAGCAGAAATTCAGTGGGGACAGCTAATATTTCAGTGCACTATAGGTAGGTGTTATACAGCTCCTCTGATTTAGATCTCCCTCGTCCCAAACCCTAGTGTGTGAAGAAATATGAATTTACTTTTTGGTCATTTAAATCCCATTCATTTAATCTTCCTTTTGTGTGTTCATGTTGTTCTACATGTAGACCTATAGAAGTCCACCATATGAAACTTGCTGTGCAAAAAGTAAAACGAGTTTCCACACTGCACAGCAGTCTTTTTTTTTTTTTTTTTTTTACATCTTGTCTTTATGTGTGTACTAACATAAGTCTGTTTAATAATAGTAATGATCATAAACCTGATACAATCTAACTGATTTTGATATAGCAAACTGGTTGTCACGTCGGTATTTTAATTGCACTGCTTTTGTTTTTGCTGTGAATCAGATCGTGGATGGAGTTGTTCAGAGTATTAAACTAATCACAGAGGAGGCCAGCAGACGCATTGCTGAGTATGCATTTGAGTATGCCAGGAATAACCAAAGAACCAGTGTCACTGCTGTTCACAAAGCCAACATCATGTAAGTGTGTCATCACAAATCACATCCTTAATAATATGATGTTAATATGATGTAATATGATGTTTTATTAACATTATTAAATATATAATGTCATATTTTTAATATGATTCAAAAGTAAGGGTTAGGTTTTATTAGTTTAAATTAAATGTTATTTAATGTAATGTTATTATTTGAACCAAGTCAACATTTACAAATATAGTAATACAGTAAACATTGTGAAGTATTGTTGAAAATTAAAATAAAATGAATGCATGAAATCTCATTTACAATCATGTCGTGTCATGTCATGATTATAAAGGTTTCATAACAGTGTTATGAACACCCCTTCAAGTACTGCAAACTACTTTAACATTACAAAATCAAAATGTACTTGAAAATTGTTTTTAATCTGCTCATTTGCTTTTTGAGAAACATTTATTTTTAGATAGTTTAGATCCCTAATAGAAACAGTTTGCTTATTTTAGTAAGAAATATATTTTTAGTTATTTAATAAATATAGCATTCAAATAAGTGATTTCTTCTAGGCGGATGTCAGATGGTCTGTTTTTGCGGAAGTGCAGAGAGGTTGCAGAAAATTTTAAGGATGTGAAATTCACTGAGATGTATCTGGATACAGTGTGTCTCAATGTAAGTATAGATTTCTTTCATTTCTAATTTTTTAGAACTTTTTAACACTTTTAGTGTCTGTAGCAGTCAAGCATTGTTGTGTCATCTGTAGTAAATCCACTCCGAAGGCCAAACTCCTAAACTCCAAGTAGCCACAAAGATTATTATTTTGCTTTTTCATCTAAAATTGGTAAAGAAGGGCATTGGATATGATGCTCGATAAACTCATTCATAAGAAGATGCTTGCACGGATGCTGCTGCTGTTTCAGTATGTCAATAGATGTCATGTTAATGGCATGGTATTCAAACTCACATTGGTAGCATTTAACGTTGAGTAAAGCGCTTAATCAGTACCTGAGGGGATCATTGTCACAGAAGTTTATGCCATTTTACAGTCACAAGAAAAAAGAAACCGTTTCAATTTTCAAGTGATGGTTAGAACAAAAAAATGTAACCATTTTGTATTGTTTAATTTTGCTAACCTTTCATTATGCTTAGGATTAAAACAATCAATAAATTAAGCTGCTGTAAAAAAATGTACACAGAGCCCAACATGGAAGTTTGTGATTGGGTCAGCCCTATGTCAATAAAGAAAAGAACCAATGGGCTGCAGATTATGTCACATGGCCGCTCTGTCCGGACGCTGGTCAAACTAACCTCCATGAACTATCTTTATATTATTTATATAAATAAATAAGCAGAGTCTGAGAGTTTTAGTTTTTTGACAGTTTATTTCACATTTCTTGTTTGTAAAGGCTAAATACAAATAAAAAGTGAACATAAATTTTTTGTATTGGTATTTATTTTAAAAAACAAAGTTACAAGTGCCTGGAGGTATATAGACTTTGCATATTCAGTTTGCAGACATGTGTACTTTAGGTACAGACATCTATAGTGTGTGTTCTTGGCAGTTTTTTCCTATGTTTTTAATATTGTCTATATCGATATCGGAATTATATTGTATCAATCAAAATTAAGAAATCTATAGTGATATAAATTTTTGCCATATCGTCCAGCCCTGGGACCAAGTGGTTAAACAATAAGTGATATGAGAAATGAGTGATGATCGATGTTTTTTTTTTTTGTGATGAGATGTCATGTGAGGCTGCCCTAACCTATCTGACCCGGGTGCAAACCTTTTTACCTGTTACAAAATTATAGTTTTAAATCTATCAAAACACCAAGGTACTTGTACTTAAAACATCTTGTAATGTTTCCCTTGATACCAATACATCTGGTACTTCCCTTAACCTATTGTTCTTAGAAAAAAACATACACACTGTTTTAGAGATGTTCAACTGTAATCCGCACTGTTCTAACCAGGTTAAACTATGTACTAGCAATTCTGTGAGTTTGTTTGTAACTTGCAACACATTCCTCCTTTGAATAAATATAACAGTGTCATCTGCATACATTTGTATATTAGTATAAGGACAAATGGATGGAAAATCAGTATTATATAAAGTAAAAAGTAAAGGGCCCAAAATGGATCCCTGCGGAACACCTGTGGATATACCTAATGGGGCAGATTTGTAATTCTGTATATTAACACACTGTGTGTGACCAGACAGGTATGATTCTATCCATTTTAAAGTTTGTGGGGAGAAGTTACAACCTACTAATTTGCACATGAGAATTCTATAGCTGCGTCCCAAATGGCACACTATACACTATGCACTCATGCACTATGTACTTATGCACTTACACACTCAACAGGATAGTATATGTATGTAGTTGTGTCCCAAATGGCACACTAATGTTTTTTTACCAAGCAGAAATTCAAACCGTTTCCCTGATGACGTTTGATGGTTGCCAAATCAGTGAAATAAACAACAGAATTATCAAATAATACCTGCCATGAGTATTGCCGCATTCACCATCGGGAGGCGCTATAATCAGTCTCGTAGGAGAATTTTGCTTTCACCATCTAAAATAAATAAAGTTATTCAACATGTGCGTCCGATAGCTCCGCCCCTTCCGCTACGTAAGCAAACCTGCGTTCGTTGAGTGCGTGAAGTGTCCATCGTTACACACTTCATTTTAGCGGCTGAATGAGTGCATCATCCGGGTAATTAAAGTGCACTTATTATTTTTAGAGTTTTCAGTGTGAACACACTACTTACACTATTTATACTACAAAATGGCGTAGAATACTGCATAAGTATGCGATTTGGGATGCAGCTCAAGATTTACAGTATCAAAGGCCTTCCTGAAGTCAAGAAATACAGCCCGAACGACCCCCCCATTATCTATTAAAGACTTTACTTTTTCTGTGAAGTAGAAATTTGCCATCTCATTTGAGTAGTTTGCTCTGAAGCCAAACTGCAATGGATCTAAAGTAAAAGAACTATTATTTAAGTAATGTGTGAGGCTATCAATTATGCACTTAGCCAAAAATTTTACTTAATTTTATATTAATTATAATCAAAATAAAAGTAATAGCTAAGACACTTAAATTGAACTCAACTACCATTAAGCTCCACGTACAGGGAAATGAATATAACAAGAAATATCACAATACTCAACATCAACATGGCAAATTAAATTTAAACCATATGTTATTTGAAAAAATTACACTTTTGAGTAATCAATGTGGCTATAATTGTTTTTTATGCAAAATAAAAATAAAAACAATTTTTGAAAATTTTTCAAAAATGCTTTATTTAGAGCAGATCAGAAATATGATGCAAATGACATTAAAACTCAAAATGAGGAATAAAGAAAGACATCTGGACTCCAATTGGTCACCAAGCAGACAGGTGCAGGAGACACATAGACTGTGCAGGAAGAAGCCAGATGGACCGGAGCAGTAGAGACCTCAGTACAGCTGTCAGGACTTAAACAGGCAGAAAGAGAGACCTCTGTAATCCAGTCAGGA